TCTTTCTCTTGAAATTCTTCTTTTGTAAGTCTTTTTGTCCATCAAGCAATATCTGACAAATCTTAAATAAATCTCTAACAAATCTTAAACAAATCTTTTATAAGATTTGAGTCAATATTCCCAACAATTTTCACCTTGACTCAAATTTCATCAATCATCTATCTTCATGCTAGACATGCTTGGCTCCACCTGTAATGAAAGTCTCACAATCATCTTCTCTTCTCTTGTGTCTTCACGCTTCATACAAACCAATCTTCAAAACTTAAACTCGAACTCTTCTCTTGAATCGACATGTCTCAAATCAAACTCTTCCCATATCTCGAACTGTCAACTCTTTCCATGTCTCAAACCATCGGTTCTTCTCACATATTGAATCTTTAACTTTTCTTACGTTTTGAACCTTTAGCTCTGATACCACTTATTGGGGAACACCACAGCTCTGATACCATTTGTTAGGCTAAAAACCTTCAATCCAATCACACCAGCGAAAGTAAAATCAAACAATAAATCAAATACACAAGAGATAATAATTTAACGTGGTTCGATCCAACTGACCTACATCTATGGATGAGAAACAAGATCCACTAGTTGTAGAGAATTATAAACTTACATCATATTATCAACCTCACTCAATAATCAATACTCATAAGACACTCTCAATCTCTTGTAGTCCTATAGAGTATTCTCAACCCAAAAAAATACAAACCCAAACCCTTGTGTACCCTTTCAATATAACCAAACACATATCCATATGCTCCCATACATCATACCTATATAGACCCCTTTAGTCTTCTCTAGTCCAATCACAAACAAACATACACACCCATAAGACGTAGAGCCCCAATACTCTTATGGGGTGTCTATCCCATAAAACTCTACAACTCTCTTACATCTTTTTCTTATACCTAACCCTGTAGAGACTTCACCTATTTATAACCATACAAACTTGCCCATTAAGAATCCATCTCCTCTTAAAATTCTTCTCCTGTAAGTTAAACTTGCCTATTAAGAATCCATTTCCTTTTAGAATTCTTCTTTTGCAAGTCAAACTTACCTATTAAGAATCATCTTTCTCTTGAAATTTTTCTTTTACAAGTCTTCTTGTCCATCAAGCAATATCTGACAAATCTCAAACAAATCTCTAACAAATCTCAAACAAATCTTTTATAGGATTTGAGTCAATATTCCCAACAAATAAAGCAAAAAATGGCTATGTGAAAAAAAAAAGACAAAAATTGCAGTGAATAAAAAATGATGACTCAAAGTTTAAAAGTTTCAAAAATTTCTCAACTTCCACTGAGTTCAAGAAATTGTGAAAAAGTAAGCTAAAAGGATATTAAGTCTAAAATTTTTTTTTTCATATCTTAACCGAAGTCTTACATTACAAGTCTAAAAGACTTTTTGATCTTGAGTCAAATATGTAAGTTTAACATTAATAGAAAGAGAAAGAGAAAGTGAACCTATAAAGTTTATTTTGTCTTTAAGTTGAAGTGTGATGAAATGTTTTACATTTTTTTTGTTTTGTTATCTTTATTTATCGATTTTTTTTTACAAAATTTAGTTAATTACAAAAAAGTAAAAAAAAAAAATCAAGTGACATGTGGATACCTTAATTGATCTTTTTATTTCACAAAATTTATCTAATTAAAAAAAAAAGAATCAAAAAATTGAAAAAGGAAAAAAAATAAAAAATAAAAAAAATTAATAAAGGGTGACACTTTGACAATCTAATTAAGTCTAAAATATTAATTTTTTAAATTAAGGTATCAATTAATTAATTGGCTAATATAATATATAAATATAAAATAAAAGTTAATAATATATATATATATATACTTCTTTATACACCTTAAAACAAGTCAGAATATAGTACTCTAAACAAGTTTTAACCTCGATAAGTTTTCGCCTCGATCTCATTTAAAAAAAAAAATTTAATCTATCCTAACTTGATCTTAATTTTAAAAAATATCTTTCAATCAAATTAAAATGGATTGAATTTGTCAGATATGAATTATTTTAACATATCTATTTATTAACATCTTTTATTACAAAATTTATATAATTAAAAATACAAAAAATATGAAAAGAAATAACCAAATGGAGTGCTACGTGGCCATTTTCATTGGCTTTTTAAAAAAAAATTAATTTAAATAAAAAAACAAAAATAAAAAGATAAAAAACAAAAATTAAAACAAAAAAGAGAAAAAAATAAAGGAAAATATGACTTATAAAGGTACTAAACATTTAAATTGAGTTTAAAATATTAGTCTTTTAATTTAAGGTATTAAATGATAACTTTATTGAATAAAGAAATAAAAGAACAATTAAAGGGAAAAAGGAAAAATAAACAAATAAAAAAAGGAAAGAGAGATAGTGGGGTGCCAAGTAGACATCTAAATTAAATTTAAAATAGTTATATCTTAAATTAAGATATAAAATAATAATTTTATTAATATAATACATATCTATAAATACAAAATTAAATAAATAAAAAAATATTTTTATATATATTACGAAAATGGTTTGGAATAAAGCACCTTAAATCCGTTTTTGATTTATTACTGCTATTCTAAATAAAGAACAAACCCAACTTGAATTAATACTATTTTTTACAAAAAAAAAAATGCTCATATGGAATCAAGACGAATTAAAACTCATCATATACTAATTATTTTGTTATTCCTATCAATCAATTCATTTTGTTGTAAAATATAATTTTTTTTTACAAAATTTATCTAATTAAAAAATAAAAAATAAAAGAAATGACCAAAAAAGAAAAAAAGAACCAAATGAGAATGCCACATGAATTTATTAAATTAAAATATTAAATAATAAAATTTTAATATAATATATAAATATAAATTAAATAAATAATAAAATATATATTTATATATGTTCGTGAAATACTTTAAATTTGTATTCGATTTGATTTCAATTTTTGAAAAACTTAATTTGATCTCAAATTAAAAAAAAATACACTTAATTGAATTCGGACGAATCAAAATTTATCTAATTCAGATGACATGCATAAAAAAAAACTAAAAAAGAGAAAAAATGTTTAATTAATAGTATCAAATAAATATCATATAAAAATTTTAAAAACAAAAAATATTTATTAAATATTAAAAAAGAAAAAAAAATGCTATGTGGCACCCCCATGAAATCTCCGTAAATATGTAAAATTAATTATATAGATAGATAAATATGCATCATATCATCACCAACTTCTCCTTTACACTAAAAATTCATAGATTTTAAAAAATTGACGCGAGAGACAGGTCAACGCTTAAGTTGACAATTGACAGTCCAGATATGATTTTTTTATTTTATTTTTTTGTATTGATTACTTTTAAAAAAAAGAAAAGAAATAGAAAAAAATAATAGAAAAAGAAATAGAAAAGGGAAAAAGGATAGTAGTTGATTTTTTTTTTGATTTGATGTTAATTGTAAAAAGTAAAGAAAAAGAAAATATTATATATATATATATGAAAGATGCAAGACGAAAAGTCAAAAGCTATCCATCCATAATATTCTAATAAGAAAATTCCAAGTAAAATTAGAACAAAAACAAAAAAAAACGAAATGAGATGATGTAACATAAATATTTATTATTTTGTATCACAATATCATATAATTAGTAAAATATATATAATATATATAATATTTTATATTATAATAAAATTAATTAATTAAAAATAATAAAAATATGTATTATTAATTTGATAATTACAAATTGATAAAAGTTCAAACTTTCATGTTTATTAATAAATATAAGAAAAAAATATTTAAATGAATGAACTATCAAATACAATTTTTAAATATACATATTTGCCTTTGTTTCTTAAGATTATTCACGTCCATATATTATAAAGTAGCTTTAGATATTTTTTATTAAATATAAGTATTATGTATATTCATATTTTAATTTTATATTCAATTATTTATATTCAATTAAATGTAAGGGATTTAATATACATATAATATGTTTTCGTAAATATTATAAATTTCAATAAAATATTGGGGTAAAAAACAATTATATTTTTATTAATTTAAAAGATAGACAATTTTAATTAATTATTTTTAAAATATAAATTAATAAATTATTTTTTATTTAAAATATTGACATTTTTAATTAATTATTTTTGTTATCTCTATTAATAAATAAATTTATTTTGATACCTTATTTTTATTATTATTTCTTTTTATAAATATGCATATAATATTTTTTTTGTACACATTATAATTTTGTAAGGTAGTTTTATGTTTTTTTATTAAATATACATATAATATGTTTTTTTTGTAAATATTATAATTTTATATTTAATTAAATATTGGGGTAAAAAGCAATAATACATATAAAGATTGACAGTTTTTACCTTTTTTTTGTTATAATATCAATTAATAAATACTTTTATTTAATTTATTTAAAAGATTGACATTTTTATTAATTATTTTTTTATCTCAATTAATAAATAAATTTATTTTAACACCTTATTTTGTTATTTTTCTTAAAGGAGAACCTAACGTTATCCTTTATGTTTTATGTTTAAAAAAATAAAAAAATAAAAAGTTTAAATATTTAATTTAAAAAATAAAAAAAATACAAAAAGTAAAGGGCTACGTGAATACGTTGGTTCTTCTTCCTAAATAAGAAAAACTAATGTATTGGATGTTTAAATATAAATATTTATTTTAATTTATTTGAGTTATTAAAGTGCATATATTATAAGGTATTTTAATTTTTTTTATAAATATACATGTAATATCTTTGACATATTATCATTTTAAATTTAATTAAATATTAAAATTAAAAGTAATTATATTTTTTATTAATTTAAAAATTGATATTTTTATTAATTATTTTTTGTCATAACATTAATTAATAAATAATATAATTTGAATATACTATTTTGTAATTTTTGCAGGAGAAGTATCTATGATGTCATGATCTTTATGTTAATAAAAATAAAAAAGGTTGAAGAGATTAATGACGAGTGGATAGGTTACAAAGTTGTCAAATCTAGATTAAAATAAGTAAAATCAATAATATGGATTTTGATAAACAATGTGAAAGGTAGAGGAAAATATCAAAAGAAATAGAAAAACAGTTGAATTCGGGGATGTTAAGGTTTGGGATGTCATGGCGACTGGGTTTAGTTTCAGAACTTCTGAGGTTGCCTTAAGATTCCTATGAAGCTTGGATTTTATAATGTAACTAGCACAACTTCCAAGGACCACCCCAAGTCCGCACACATCAGCGACCGCTGCTGAGTTTGAAGAATCCATGAAAACCATTGAATTTCTATCACATCGCATCAACAGCAAAGACCGTTTTGTTTGTCACATCGCGTCAAGTCAAAATTAGTTCCGTCCCAGGTCCCGCCGTCCCACTATCGAAGGCTAGCGAGCTCTCTTCATTCTCTGTCGCGAGACGACTTTTCCTTCAGTGTTTTACAAGACATTCAACCATATCGCCTCTTGCCTGCCAAAAACTTCCACTGTTCAACTGTTTCACACCGTATTATATGCAACAAAATGATGATATATGTATTCTGTTCAAAAAAAAATGTTTTGAATCTCCTATGCTTCAAATCCAATCCATTGAACTGTAACAATATGTATTCACCATATGGATCAAACAGTAGCCATCAAACTGTTGCATATTAAGGGAACTGAAAACAAAAGCATACCAAGTGGAAAAAGATGGCACTTCTAACCATTTATCATTCTTTAATCGCAGAAATAAGAATATTACACCATCTAAACAGGATACAGTTGACCCATGTTAACACCCCAATTCCCTGTTACTCAAAAGAATAACTGTACAAATAAATATTTTTACACAATGAAACAGCGTAAGTCATCAGGAACACGAGTTAAAAAAAATTTGTTCGACTCTATGGCCGATCCTTGCACTTGAGAACAGCCATCCCCTGAGATCTTGCGCAAACTTGCCTGTTTCTAAGAAAATCAATGTAAGTTCGAAGTCTGTCCCGATCTGAGTTTGTGAGCGAAAATGGGGGATTGAGAATGAGAGAAGGTGCTTCGACTAGAAGGAAGACTAATAAACGCACTGCCTTTGAATACAAAAAAGCTGCCCTTTCCATATTACCCATGAGCTCATCAACCTGCAAAGACATATGCAGAACACTTATTCAGCAAATATGTTTACTTGAATTCTTATCTTCTATCACCTTATTTCAAGAAAACTTCAATGATATTCATCAAATATATAAATAACTTCATTTCTTATCTTGAATTCTTATCTTCTATCACCTTAATTCAAGAAAACTTCAATGATATTCATTGAATATATAAATAACTTCATTTCTTATTATAGAAGATCTTTGCTTGATGTATTCTCCTCTTCTATCACCTTAATTCAAGAAAACTTCAATGATATTCATCCAATATATAAATAACTTCATTTCTTATTATAGAAGATCTTTGCTTGATGTATTCTCCTATTTTTTGTTTTCTTCACCTTATACAAATGGTATAAACCAATGCCCAGTCAATTAGATAGATAGATGAATACAATACAGGCTTATTGAATTGATATCAAGGTGAGAATCAAAGACTCACCCCTCCATGTCTTCCCAAAGCAAGGGCAGCCTGAAATATTGTCTCCATTGCATCAGGCATCTTTGTACTTCCTGCAATCATGATGACAAATGCTAATTTAGAATCTTATAATCTATAGAATTAAGACAAGTGGCATGACTTTTGTTTCCTTACACATCAGCAATAATTGTCACATGCACCTAGTTGCTTTCTTATTGCTAATTTCAAAGTGGAACAACAAATGTTGATAGAGGCAGTAGTAACTATCAAAGGCATACCAGGCTCAATAACCTTTGCGAGTTCCTCAGCATGCTCAACTTCCCGGAGAAATTCCCTCTCTATCTCAGAGGATATATCTTCTGGCCCTTTGGGGCTGACAACATCCTGACATTCCTCTGTATCAGATGTTCCATGCTTCTTGCTGGCACTCCTCCTCAATCTGCTTATCTCTTGGCTTGGACTTCCTTCCATAAATGATGCAGCCTGTGTATGGCAAATATCCAATGCTTGCTTCCAAATTGCAAGAATCACAAGCTGGATTGAGAATGCTTCAAGTTGTCTATCTGCCTCAATCTATCAAAGAACCATGATAGTATTACAAATAAAATAACCTCAATAAACCTTGGGATAGCAATGAAAATACCAAGAGAACCTAGCTAGCGACATGTGCTACACAGGTAGCAGTTATAATCATTGAGAGTGGAAGAGAGTCGTATCATTTAAAAGATTCTACCTCTAGAAGAACCTTACTGACCCAAAAGTAACAGTAAGGAGCAGCAGAAAAACAGCAGTAGGTAGAAAATCTAAATATTAAAGCTGTATACACTGGTTACTCAATCATGCAAAATTTGCTGAATGAAATGGCCCAGAAAGATGGAGTGAGATTGCTCATCTGCTAATTTCCTTGGGTGAGCATAAAGATCATCAACATATATTAGTAGACCATACTAAGGTCCATCCAAGAGAGCCAATCAAATGTTCCAGAGTCCAGACATCCTAGATGAGTACAAATGAGACCAGTCATTGGTTAAATGGCAGTTAACCATGCAAGCATGGGGGAAAAGCAGAGGGGAAGAGAGGGAACCAGTCATGCTATTGCAATACTCTACCTAATGCACTTACAATAGGTTTATTATGGACTAACCTTTTCATGCACTAGTTCTGTAATTGAAGATGCACATTGCTGTAATGACTTTATCCTTGTCATGCGATGAGATAATGGTTGCTCCAGAGCATCTCCAATATCCATGGATCCTTGTGAAGTCCCAGGAGCAGAGCTCTGACTTTCCAAGCTTCCTACATGACAGATGTTAACATTGCTGGCACCAATGATAGGCATGGGGGCAGTTGATGCATTGTTATTGGTAAAGGGGATTAGAGGTGGACTCTCTGATTTGTATAGAATATGGTTAGGCTTGGAAGTGCTAGCTGAAGAAGATGACACATCCATGGGAGGTCCACACACAAGAACATAATCTTGGTCAATCAACTCCAGTGATTCTCCAACTGAGGAAACAATGGAAGAGTGACAGTTAAACCAGACATGTTTTAGAAAGACATCTTATTCAAAGGATGACAGTTGCTCAGAACGTATACACTTAGCAAGACGTGTTGGGAACTAGAATCATATGTAATTAAATTGAGAAATGGAACATATAAGATTGCTGGTACCTCTTGAACGAGTATTCAGAGATCTTTGATCCATGGATTTGTGGGGTTCATGTAGAGTTTGACCTGAAACCTTGTGGCTTTCAAGTCTAAAACTAGTATTTTCCGATTTATGTCTTGTAAACTGTATTTGGATGTAAAATCCACTTTATTCAAAGGATTAGATGCTGCTTCTCTGTTATCTTTTGCATCGGGAGAAAATCCATGAGCAGATTTCATTGAGGACCTCTTCTTTGCAAAGGAAGGGCTCCCTTCAGGACCAGTAGAATCGTCATCCAGAAAGAAAGGAAGGCAGTCCTCCTGAAAGCTTTCCTCAGTATTCCTTACGGTACTGCTTTCAGAAAAAGGATAAGCAGCTCTTAAAAATCTCTGACTCCTGCATATACCGCAAAGTTTCATTATTTAGGGAACTGAAAGACAATGTATCAAAGGCAAGATGAAGAGAACAATCACTTCCTCATTTACCTCAATGATTCGTCTGGTTGGCCCTGAGAAAGAAACGGGTGGTTAAAGAACTCTTCAAATGTTAAACGTTCCACTGCAAATACAAGGATAAAGAGCACACCAAGAATGAGGGCAAGAATATAAATAAAAATTGCTCAGCACTCAGAATACATTGATAGCATTGCTGAATGAAACATGACTCTTATGGTTCTCTTTGCTCATTGTCTTGACAAATCAGCTAAAGCTTTATCCTAGCATCATTCTCCTTGCATGGTCTAGCATGTAGAGAGTATTACTTACATTATAATAATTCTTCGAAGCTCAATTAACAAATAGGTGGCTAAAGTCATTTGTGATTAAAACAGCAAAGTGCAAAATTGCAAGCCAAAAGTAAGGGATAAGAACAGTAGTTACAAACTAAACAATTCTGATTGAGGTTGAAGCCAAGGAATTAGGGTGTTCTTTCATGTACCTATAATTTTGGCAATCCTCATTGTCCTAGAATCAAGTAGCAACTAACAGTGATATGGTTGTTTTGGTCTCTAATATGTCAGCAAATGATTGTATATGCCAAAACTCAGAAGTAGCCAAGTTGGTAATTTAATCTAAATTTGTGGAATACCTGGATTACGGCGCAGCAATTTTTGACATAAATCTTTGCAATCAGCAGTCAAATAATTGTTTTCTACAGGGAAATGCAACTCAGTTGATTTCACAATGTTCTGGAGTAACTGCAAACACATGAAAAAAAAAAAAAAGATCAAGGGAACTGCAAAGGCTCCAAAATATTCACTTGGTTCAACTGAGGTGACTAATTGCAAGTCCAAAAGTTAGAACTTACGAGAACCCTAGGACCTCCTCAGACATACAAAAAAGTTAAAAGTTCATTAAACCTGTATTTGATTGTTTCCAGTGAATGGAGTTCTCCCAGTAACAAGCTGAAACAAAATAGCACCAACACTCCAGAGATCTGCCTGCGTATTAAGGTCAAGGTTAGTAGGCTACTAGGCAGTAATTTAAGGTATGAATTAGAAGAGGAAAAGGAGTATTGCTTGGGGAGTAACTATCACCTTTGCATCATACTTCTGCAGTTGCATTATCTCTGGAGCCATGTAAAGTGGTGAACCACATAATGTTTCTGCAAGCCCCCTAGGTTGCAGAGATCTGCCAAAACAGAACTGTAATGTTCTAACTATTGACTATGAGTGAAATATTCATTGGAAAAGCATATGTGCATAGAACAGTTAGGAGTTATATCTCTTTCATCTTATTTCCCTCTGTCGATAATTAATGGGATTGCAAATGGAAAAGATTTTCCATTTTAAACAGAACTCCAATAGAGAAAGGATAGTAGACAATAATTATGAATAACTTCATTGACTAATATCAGAAATTAAAAATCAATTATGCTGGACCATTGCAGCCACGGTTGTTTCAGCTATTATTTCCAAACATATTATGTTTTTCAGAAGCCTCAGTTTCCATTCTTCACTATGTTGAGCACCAATCTATGCAGTGATTATAACCTCTTTTAAATTTGAGAAATGAAACTATTCTCAGATCATCTAAGCTAGATAAGCACATAGTACAGATTATCAAAGAAGACAGGTGGCCTCAAGTTATAGTATAAACAACCCAAAGAATTACTTGCAATTTTGCATCAAGTAGCCAAATTCAACAGCCAAGGATAGGCCCAGGACTAGGAGAATAGAAGTGCACTTTTTACTCACCGGGATTCCTTAAAAAATGGAAAGAAAGAAAGGGAAAAAGAAAAACACCCTATAGGTAGATGGGTCAATTGATCATTTACCTTGCAAATCCAAAGTCAGCAATCCTTAAAACTGCATTGCCATCATTTGTTGAGAGAAGAAGATTCTGTTCAAAGAACAATAACATTACAAAGACAATATATTCAAAGAAAACTTAACATGGACAGGACTGATATATATCAAAGGATGTCTTTCAACTTCACAAACCTATTTTTGAATGCAAATCTAACAATATATACAACTTCATCACATTCCATAACGTGGTTCAAAAGCAAACCCAATTTAGAGGGAAAAAAGGTATCATCTCTTACATGTAAGTCCTATTTGATTACAATTAGAAAGAAAATAGTACGACTTTTCAAAGGCTTGCTTCTTTCCTTAAAGGCATAAGTAGCCATAAAATTATATCAAAATTCGAATTTGAACCACATAGAATGAACTGAACCTGAGGCTTTAGATCCCGATGTATAAGATTATTGTCACGAAGAACTTGTAGGCCAGCCGCTGCAAGAAGATGGTTGTAGAAGTTTTGAGTTACCAGAATTCAATGGATAAGGAAAACCAACAACCAGACAGTTTTCAGCATACCTAGCTGCTGCATGAAATGCTTTGCTGTTGCCTCAGGGACACTTCCATGGCGTGTAATATACATAGAAAGATCACCGCCCTTGCAGTACTCCAATACAAGATGTATCTTTCCAGGAACCTGAAAATATGCATATAAATCAAAACTAAAACTATGATTAAGATTTATACTATATGATTGCTCATATAACAAGTGAAAGTAAAAAAATATTTTACACAGCATATCAGCATTGTCTCAAACAACTTTAATTTCAAATCAAAAGCATATATTGAGTGACATTATTCAGATTACCTCAGCTTACAAAAGATCTAATGAGAAAAAACAAAATGCCGCTCCAACACATAAAGTAAAATTGCAACTAAGAAACCCATTGCTCCATTCCAAGAAGTCCATGGAATGAAGGGGCATAGCATATAACAACTTCAGCTGGAAGAAAATATTTTTGATATACTCAAAAACAGCACGAAGCTTCATAAACACGTAAATGAAAAATAACTTTCCAATTTAGTTTCTCCTGACCAAGGCAAATTTAGCAAAAATTTTTCAATGTTCTCAAAGCCTCCGACTTAATATTAGTTGCTGTGGAGCAAAGAGAAAACAAAGTAAAATTTTAAGTCAATTTTTAGTCTTCCAAATTGGGAACTCTCAAAGCAATAGAGCCTTATGTAAACACATTACTGGCTGAAAATTCTACTCTCATTCATCCTCTGCTTCTATCGAGTACAAGTCCAACTTTGACCAAAAAATTCCTTTTTCAATGGAAAGTGCGCATAATTTTTCAATCAAAATAGATTCTTCTCATTTTCGCTGGCGTATCTAAACATATTTTCAGTAAAAAAAAAAAAAAAATCCAATTCTCTGTTCTTTTAATATTTTCCTTTGAAAAAAAAAAAAACCCTTTACATCAATAAACGGCACCTCGAGTTTCAGTCCCTACCTTACTTAACCAGCTCAATTTCTAAGAATAAATTCAAACAGTTCTATTTCCGCCAATCTTTCCTCTACTTTCTCAGCATCCAAACAACTCCTAGAAAACTGATAGTAAAAGGAAACAATTTAAGGAAGAAGAAACGAACCTCAATAATATCATGCAGTCGAATAATATTAGGATGATTAATTCTCTTCAAAATAAAGATCTCCGACATCAAACTATCCTGCAACTTCTTATTGAGCCGACCCATTACGATCTCCTTTATCGCCACCTCGGTTCCATGAACTCGATGCCTCGCATGCCAAACAATCGAGAACGAACCCGACCCGATTTGCCGGCCAACTAAATAGTCCCCTACCACTCTTCCCCTCCCAGACGCTTGAGCCATTACAGACGAACCTGGAAAACAAAAGAGAGACCAAAACCCAAGGATCCGACACGTGAATTTGAAGCTTAAATATTAGAGTATCGGATACTGGAAATTGGATTCTTTCGAAGATTCGACCCGTATTTTAAAAGGATTTCGGATTGGCCGCGCAAAGATAACAATATGATGATGACGAACGGATGGGAAGAGAAAGGAAGGGTGAGATTAAATTTTTAAAGGAGCTTTGATTTTATGGTTTTTAAAATTTAGAATCTGATAAGCAGTTCAATTATTGAGATTTCAATTGTGACTAGTGAACGTGATCGCGGATTAACGTTTTTGTGATTTACTGTACGGTTGTTTCTACTGTTGCAACCTTGGAATCACTGAGCTGGCTGGTTTTGATTGGGTGGTTACGTGAACCAGATTTGGGGTAGGTGACGAGGGAAAAGTCAGCAATGTCGGCTTTTGAGTACGTGTCGCTGATACATTGGTTGGATAATTCTAAACGGACTTTTCCGCTTGGGATTCCAAATCCAAATACTAACAAGTTATTGTCTATTTTCCTCGTTGTGCTTGAAAGGAAAGAAACCCGACAAAAGATAAAAAGATGTACGTTTTTCCTTTTACTTGTAAATATCTTTTCCATCATTTAATTTGAAGGAGATATAAAAATCTTGGCTTCTTTCCTTGATCAAATATCAACAATGAGTACAGGGAAATTTTCTAATGACTCTTCCATTCAAGTTTATGAATAAAATTTTGATTCATATGATAATTGATTAAACATGTAAGGCAATTATCCACCTGGTAGATATTAGTATAGTTTATAATTATAAATATTCTTTTTCTAGTTTTATCATTTTATAATATTTATCATGGTTGGTATTAGTTCATCTTTTTATAATCTTTTATTTTTAAATTATTCAAAAAACTTTTAAACTAACAACTTTTTGTTTGGAATTTAAATGCAAGTGTAATCAAATCAATACGAGTCAAACACTATCATCCTCAAGTTCAATTCAATTAAAAAATTTAATATTTAAAATTCAACTTAAGTTTAATGAATTTCATTTTTAATGATTGAACTTAATTTATAATTTATTCAAATTACTTGAACTCAGATAAAAAATATTATAAATATAACTATTAAATATTATATTTTCGTCGTTTATTTATATATATTAAAATATATTACAAAAAAGTTGATTATGTTCAAAAATTATTTAAATTAAATATTAAAATATTTAAATTTAACTCGACTCATTATATGAATAATTTAAATTCAATTTGATAATAAATAAGTCAAACTCAAGTATTTATCTAATCAATACCCAAATTTAACTTGTTTATGCTTTAGGTAATTTGGGTAAATTGCATTTATAGTTCCCAAACTTCTCATCTCCCACATTTGTTTTTTTTTTTTTTTTTACTTCCCTTCCCAAGAGATTTGAAATAGAAGGCATCCGTAGTCCATCCTATCCTGATAATCTGCATGACTATATATTTTATTAAAAAATCTTTTTAATAGTGACAATTTGTCTTCCTTGACAAAAGCATCCCAACACAATCAAATTTGATCAGAGAATTTATTCAGCAGAATACTATAATAAAATCATTCCACCGGCATTAGGAAAAATGAAGTGATGATCTTCTTGAAGACCAACATAATCAGGCAAGAATTCTGTAACAGTACAATAGATTACAATGATTGAGGGCAGTCCAAATATTTTAGTAAACCTTAGCTTACCCAATATAAATTCAAATATAGATACTTATTTAGTTCACTAATAATGTGAGGCCAATGACTCAATTATTTGATCGTTGGTGAACATATTGCACTGCAGACTACAAAGTGCAATCATATTAAAGTCCCATTGAAGATTAATTCAAACCATAGCAATTATTCCGTTTTGGATAGGCTTTGTTGCAATGTCATTGTCCTTTAACACCAACCGCTGGTGAGCAATTAAGAAACCGTGTGGCTGCGTTACAAATAGCAAACGGTAACATCAAACATCATACTTCTATCAACCAAGCTGTAAAATTAAGCATCATATTTCCACATTTCACCAGGCTGCAATGCTCCGAAAATGAGATTTCCAGTGAGTTTAACCTCAGCTTCAATTTTACCTTCCCCTAACAACTACCCATCATTGAAATTTTAAGTAACATAACTTTCAAAATGAGGGAAAATTCACCATTAAAAGCTGAAGAAGATTGCAACAGACCATTAGATAGGGCTTAAAAGGATATATGACTAGCATATAAGCATCCCTCATTCTATAGACAATCCAATGTTTAAAATTTGAAAAGAAAGGACTGAAGTATTCCTAATGTTGACACCCAAGAAACATGCCTTGTTACCAGGAGCGGGCCTCACATCTAGTTAAGAAGAGGAATTAGTTTGTCAGAAGTCCGAAGAAAGACAAGTATAATGGCCAATTCATGCAAAGTAAGCAAACAAAATTCTGGCAGACACCGACTTGCCCGATAGAAATGCCACAAAAACCTATACTTAGTTCTCCAATCTTGATGCTTCCATAATATCCCATGATCCTCTTCATGCAAACAAACACAAATGAAAGATGTAATAATTGAAGAAATATTCGAATTATTAAATGATTAGATCAGTCTTGAAAATTTATGCTCCGATGTAGCAGGCTTATTAAAAAATGAAGATGAATAAAACATAAAAATCCATATCCAATCTTGATTTTGGGTAAAACCCACAATGATGGATCCGAACCTTCAATGCTTACAACCACATCGTCTCAACTAGCTTTACACTAACAGCAGCTGCGGCGACGGTTGAAGGAGGCAACAAAATGGAAGAGGTGGCAGCTTTTGGCTTCTATAGTGACTGATTGGGGGCACAAGGAAGAAGAGAAAGAAGAGAGACGAATAAAAACACAAGGGTTATAGCTATTTTAGAAAATAAAAAATTACTTAAAGGCACGATTGGAATAAAAAAATTTTAACAGGGATAAAAGGGAAAAATCAAAATACACTCCCATTTTCTCTCTAGATAATTGCTATTTGTATTCCAACATTTACTCAATGCACTTCACTACTTTTAACATTTTTTTTTATTTATCATACCTCATACTTAAAACTAAAATTTACCAAAAACACTCAAACACTTTTCTCTTTTCTCTTTCACACCCCATCTCTTCTTTCTCACACCCTATCTCTTTTCTCTCCTTTCCCAATTGTAAAGTTTAAAAATTTGAAGCTAAATTCAAAGGAAATTTTACACATTTAAAGTTAGAAAACTTATAATTAGAGGTAAATCATTTATTTTTTGTTTTTTTTTTATTTTATTTCAGTGCGATTTAAAACTTTCAAAAATGAATTTTTGGAAGCTTTTAAAAATTTTAGAAATAGATGTTCAGAAGTTTTTAAGAGTTTTTGAAAATTGATTTTTGAAAACTCTTAAAGGTTTTTGAAACTAAATGTTAAAAGCCTTTAAGAATTTCCAGTCGCCCTTAAGAATATATGAAAATCAACTTATCTAATCTTCATTTCCAAATTTTTATTGTTGTAGTTTGATGCCAGAAATTGAAGTTAGAGATATGAAGATTAACTGTAAACAGAAAAATTCACAAAAAAGATAATTCACAAGAATTTGAATAATGACCGAATATGATTATTTGATTAAAAGGGATAAAAGTTCACCACTAAGACTAGAAACTAAGGGATACATAAACACCATCTTAAGAATTCTAATCAAGGACATAAAACAATAAAAGTTCACCACTCTAAGAAATCTACTTAAGAAATACAAAACTTGAAGAACAATAAAAAAGATTGTCTAAGGATAAATAAAACTCTATTATGCCTTTTACCAAAGAATAATAAAAAATATATAGACTAAGAACATCCCTCCAAGCATGAAAACTTTTCAGATTGCATTGCTAGAATCATGCTTAAAATCATGAGATTTGCATGTGAACATAATCTACCAATTTACTCTTGAACCTAATCATAATCCTATTCATATTCATGATCTTTTTTTTTAGCTAGTGTGAATGCAATCTTTCTATTCTAGCCCACCTTATTTATGTATGAATTTGGACCAAGAATAAGCCCATCTTATTTTTAGATAAGTCTACCTTAGTCTCAGCCCAAGTTGTATGATGTGCAGACACTCCGGTGTCAATCTCCTCTAGTTGAAAAAGACTTATCTTCAAGTTTGAACTAGTATTTTCGTCACGGTAGGGTGATAAATTAGCAACATTGAAAGTCAAAGATACTCTATAAGTGTTAGAAAGCTCTATCTTATAGGCATTCTCTCCAATGCATTTGAAGACTCCAAATGGACCATTTACCTTAGGTTGTAATTTGCCAAACTTTCCTGAAAAAAATCTCTCTTTCTGTAAGTTAATCCATACCAAATCACTTTCTTTAAACTCTATATATTTTCGATGCTTATTTACTGTCTTTTTATATTTCTTGTTTTGCTATAAAATCTTAGCTCTTACTTGTTCATGTAATCATTTGATACATTTAGCCATCTCCACTAAATTGTTGATTAGTAGGGAAATGAACTATATTTAAAGGGCTGATTGAATTTTTATCATATACCACCTCAAAAGGGCTACAACCAATGGTTTGGCTTAGTGATGGTTGTAGGCAAACTCTACTTGAAGTAAAATAAGATCCCAGTACTTGATATTTTTTCCCATATAACTTCTTAGGAGGTTGCCCAAGCTGCGGTTGGTTACTTCAGTTTGACCATCTGTTTAAGGATGATAAGAAGAACTATACTTGAGATTGGTGCCAGGTTTCTTTCAAAGGGTGCGCTAAAAATGATTAAAAAACTTGAAATCTCGATCAGACACCATGGATCTAAGAACCCTATATAGCTTTACAATTTTTTTGAAATATAGATTAGAAATATAAGAAGCATCTATAGTTTTGGTATAAAGAACAAAATGGGCCATCTTAGAAAAATGATCTACAATCACCATGATGGAGTCTTTGTTCCTCTGAGTTCTGGGTAGTCCAACCACAAAGTCTAAATTAACATCCTCCCAAGAAGTATTAGGTACAGGTAGTGAAGTATATAATCTAGTGTTTTGGCCATGGCTCTTGACAATGTGGCACACTTTACATCGTTTAAGGTGTTTCATCACATCCCTCTCCATTCTTGGCCAATAAAATCCATCTTACAAAAGAGCAAGTGTCTTATTTCTTTTAAAGTATCCACCCAGTGCACTATCATGAGCCTTATTGATTAAGGCCTATCTTAAGAAACATGAGCGAATGCAAAGGCTATTAGCCTTAAAGAGATATCCATCATGTAACAAAAATCGATTGTGATCTTTGCTTGTATTTTTTTCAAATTCGATCAAAGTAAGGATCTGTCTCATAGAGCCCTTTAATCATATCAAATATAAGAACTTCAACAGCCATAGTCTTTAATAAGGAGTACTTTCGATACAAAGCATCTATCACCACATTTTGAGTTCTCGATTTATGTTTAATAATGAAGTTGAAGGCTTGAAGCAACTCTACCCAAGCTGTATGCTTTCGGTTGAGCTTGTATTAGCTATTAATAAACTCAAGGCCTCATGATCTGAATATAGGACAAATGGCTTGAGAAAGAGATACTGACTCTAATGGAATAATGCTTTATATATGGCATAGAACTCTTTGTCATAGGTTGAATACTTTCTCTTAACATCATTAAGCTTCTCACTGAAAAATGCTATAGGCTTTTCTCTTTGACTTAAAATAGCACCTATTTCAGAATTGAATGCATCATATTTCATCTCGAACACTTGATCAAAATCTAGTAGGGACAAGATAAGAGCTTTAGTGATCCTGGTCTTGATGAGCTCAAAGTTGTGTTGGGCTTTTTTTGTCCACTTAAAATCTTCATTCTTCAAGCATTTAATGATGAGAGCCACAATTAAGCTAAAACTCCTAATGAAGTGCCTATAAAAAGATGTAAGGTCATGAAAACGGATATCATGCAGAGATGCTGGTGTTGGCCAATTTAAAATTACCTCAACCTTGCTGGGATCCATCTTTATTCTTTTTTTTTTTGACACCACAAACCCTAAAAACACAAGGCTGAAAGTAAAGAAACTGTACTTTTTAAAGTTAGCACAAAGTTTTTGTTATCTTAATATGCAAAACAGTTGGTGTAAATGATTCATGTGTTGGTCCTCATCCTTGCTGTATACCAGAATATCATCAAAATAAACTATTACAAATCTGCTAATATAAGGTTCAAGAATATGATTCATAAATCTCATGAAAGTACTAAGAGCATTGGATAAATCAAAAGGCATTACCATCAATTCATAGAGCCCATCATTTATCTTGAAGGCTATTTTTCACTCATCTCTAGGTCTCATTCTGATTGATGATACCAATTGCGTAGGTCTATCTTGAAAAAAATAGTTGTTTCATGTAGTTAGTCCAATAAATCATCTAAGCGCGAAATAGAAAAATGATAATCAACTGTGATTTTGTTAATTACCTTACTATCCACACATATGCATCACGATCCATCTTTCTTAGGCATAAAAAAGGTTGAAATTGCACAAGGGCTCATGCTTTTACGTACCATTCTTTTTCTCATCAATTCATCAACTTGGCGTTGTAACTCTGCATGCTTTTTAGGACTCATCCTATAGGTTACCTTATTAGGTAAAATAACTCCTAAGATAAGGTCTATGCACTGTTGAATGTCCCTCATTGGTGGTAGACTAGCTGATAACTCTTTTTGAACAACATCATAAAATTCTGCCACTAATGGTTGTATCACTGCACGAGACTTTTCACTATCTTTATTCTTCTCAATCAATACCAAAGCATACATAGTAGCATCTATCTTAATTTTTTTTTGTAATGGCCATGGTAAACAAACTGTTTCATTTTCTTTTGGTTGGTTTTGACATCATCATGGGCTTTGTAGGGCCTATGATGATTTTGCATCCATTATTCATAAATGTATAAGTATTGTGGTAACCATTATAAATAACCTTTTTGTCATAATACCAAGGTTTTTCGAGCAATAAATGACAAGCATCCATTAGAGCTACATTACACCACATTTCATCTTTGTATTACTTTATTATGAAAAAAGAAACTAAATACTTCTTACTAACCTTGATTTTATTTTTTTTCTGTAGCCAAGATAACTTATCTGGTTTGGGGTAATCCACTGCTTTAAGGTATAATTTTTGCACCACAAAGGTAGAAACAACGTTTTTAAAATTTTTACTATCAATTATAACATCACATACCTTTTCATGGGTAATACATTGAGTGTGGAACAAGTTTTTACGCAACCAATCTTCTTTCTTAGCAGGTGCAGTACTCAAGCTACATTATATGACTAAGGATGCTCCACAATCACCATAGGTTACCTCTTTTTCCTTTTTAAGGTTCTGATCCTCTTTAGCCAACTCCTCTTTATTTTTCTTAAAGTTTTCCTCTACTAGAGTCACAATATTCTTGTTTGGACATTTTGAAGTAATGTGTCCAAGCAATTGACATTTAAAACACCTTCTTATTTGTGCACTAGATTAAGGCTTGCTTATTGAGGTTCTATTCTTCTTTTGGGGTTACTTTGGATTGGGCTTAAAAGAAACAATAGTTTTAGATGAGTCACCTTTATTGATATATAGCTTTCTCTGGACCCAAATCTTGAGCTACTATCATAAGCCTCTTTTTGTTGTCTCTCCACCTTAAGAGCAATCTTACATACATCATTGAAAGTCTAATAAGGTTATAACGACATCACATTAGCTATCTCAATATTTAATCATTCAAAATACCAGGTAATAGTTTACTCCCTCTGTTTCACCAATCATACTTTAACATGATATGGTCAAACTCAACCGTATACTCATTCACTAAGAGATCTCTTTGCTTCAAGTTATGAAGCCTAAGAAAGACATCTTATCGAAAGTTATCTGAGAGATACTTTTTCTTTAACTCTCTTTTCATCTTCTCTTAAGTTACAATTTTTTTTTTGCCTTTTCTTTCCCTTTGCTTCTTCAGATTTTCTCACCAAAAGAATGCATGCTTTTTGAGTTTGATGGCTACTAGCTTAACCTTACGATGTTTAAGGGCATCATGGTATTCAAATATGCGTTCTACTGTATGTAGTCAATCTAAAAATTCTTCTGGTTGCATTTTTCCCTTGAACTAAAAATTTTTTATCTTTAGATTGAATATGCTAGGTTGAAGTTAGTTTTTGCATAGATAGTCTCTAACTTACCGTGGGTGAAATAAGGTGCTATAATTAGAATCACTATTATTTTCATGGAATGGATTGGTTTCTCCTTTATCTTTTTTGTTTCTCTTTCGTTGTCTTTTTATCTCCTCTCTTTCTTCTTGTATATGCAGTTGATATTGTAGTTGAATGATCTGTTATCGCATCTCTTCTATAAGGGCATCCATTGGGTCAACATTGGTAGTTGCTACAACGTTGGTGTTGACTTCAACATTTTCTGTTGGTGTTTGACGACGATGGCCTGCCATAGCTTTGATACTAATTTGATGCTAAAAATTGAAGTTCACCACCAAAACTAAAAACGAAGGGATACAAAAACTTCATCATAAGAATTCTAATCAAGGATACAAAATAATAAAAGTTCACTACTTTAAAAAATTTACCTAAGAGATACAGAATTTGAAGAACAATAAAAAATATTACCTAAGGATAAATAAAACTCTATTATGCCTTTTACCAAAAAATAATAAAAAATATATAGGCTAAAAACATCCCTCCAAGCATAAAAACATTTTAGATTGCATTGCTAGAATCATGCTTAAAATCATGAGATTTGTATGTGAACATAATCTGTCCATTTACTCTTGAACCTGACCACAATCCTATTCAGATTTATGATCTTTTTTTTCAATTAGTGTGAACACAATCTTCTTATTTCAACCCACCTTATTTATGTGTGAATTTGGACCAAGGATAGGCCTATATTATTTTTGGATAAGTCTGCATTAGTCTCAGCTCAAGTTATATGATATGCAGACACTTCGGTGTCATAGTTGTTTCTCTCAAGTTCACTTTTAATTTTGATAGTATATAAGATAATACAAATTTAGTTGTAAATTTTAGCAACAATATGACTTGTTATTGGAAAGAATAAGAGAATAAAGCTCATGTTTGTCAAGGATGAGAAGAGAGAAAAGAAGAAGAAAGGTGTGCGAAGGGGAAAGGATAATTAACTAATGGATATTTTAATAATTTCATTAAAAGTTAAATTTGTAATAAAATTTTTAGAGTATATTCAATAGTTCTTAGGGTGCAAATAGAATTCTTCTTTCTTTATACACCTCAACTTTTTTTTAAAAAATTTATAAATAAAATTATTTAAATATCTTTCTCATAAATTTTATTAATTTTAGAATGCATTTTCAAGAAGTAATTTTCAAGAATTCATAACACTATTTGAAAATGTATTTTCGAGAGTATTAGAGTGAAATTTTATGAAAATTTATAAAAAAAAAAATTTGTTAAAATTATTTATAAATAAATATAATGAAAACATGTATTATTAAAAAAATCATAAATATTAAAATTAATAAAAAATTTTATTTTTATTACTTTTATCGTAGAAAAAGATAATATCTTATGAGATCCTCATTAAATTAAAGACAAAAAAATTAATATAGTTTTTTTTATAAATTTTAAATTTATCATTTTTAATAAATATTTTTTGTATATTAAAATTTTATAATAGCTTAAATTAAATTAAATTCATTTTGAGAATTTTCTCCATTTATCTATTACAATGGGTTTTTTTAATTAGCATATTAGATGTTGATAAAATTATATAATATTTAGTAGTATTACATATATAATTTTACGAAGTTTTTAACTTTTAGATGTTTGATAAGAGATAGTTAATCTGCATACGCTCTTTATAATATCGAGATAAAATATAATGGAAAATCATAAAAAAATTATGATTTCTTTAAAATATAATAGTAAAAATAATTTTTTTTATTAATTTTAAATTTTATGATTTTTTTAATAATAACTTTTTTATTATACTAATTTATAAATAATTTTAATAGAAATTTTTTTATAATTTTTCATAAAAGTTTACTTTTCCGTACTCAAAAATGTATTTTCAAAAAATATTATGATTTTTTAAAAATGATAAATATTTAAAAACGTTGGTATTTAAATAATTTTATTTATAAGAAAGTTAAAAAAAAAAGGGTCGTAGGGAAAAAAAAAGAACGATACATATACTCGCTCCGGGCTAAAAGAGTTCAATTCAAACACCAGTGGTCCATTGAACTTTTTTCTTCAATGAAAATTTAGGTTTCAGCGTGGCCAGAGAGTCATTCACACCGTTAATGATGGTGTCGGAACATCATTGATAATAGTGCCATTGGGCAATAGGTAGGCCTAATCGCGCCCCACTGAAACTCCAGTTAAAATAATGGAGGCCCTATGCTAACTCGCCAATGTCGGAGCGTCTGTGTGGTATGGTCTCAAACATTAGAGATCCCTGGTTCGAAACCGGATTCAGACGTGTTCATTTTTCATTTTTATTCGCATAACATAATCACTGAACCTTCTTAATTCCTTCACGATTCACCATTTTTCATTATTCGACCAAAAAAATCTCTCCAAAAGAACTCTCCACAAAAACGCTTCCAAACAATCTATAGAGCTTTTCCCGTAAAGAACTCCCCATCCCCTGCCCTCCCTCACAACAACCGCCATTTCATTGCCCTCAGAGTTTCACTTCCTCGTAAAAGTACTCCTTTTTCGCCGCTTTTTTTTTTTAATTTTTTATTTCTAGGGTTCCATAGAGTGAAAAACAAGTAGAGGATCGAACATAATCAAATCCAATGGATTGGGGAAACGTAACCGCAGAGGATCTGATCGACGCTCTTCGTGAAGTTGACTGGTCATCACCGCCTAGACCACTCTCCGAATTCTTCTCCCGTTTCACCGTTCCTCGATCATATGCCAAATGGAACAGCCGCCTTAAATGCAATCTCTACTAGTAAATTTTCTTTAATGTTTTTAATTTTTTTTTTAATTCGAATCAGTTTGAATTTTGATCGCCGCTGTTTGTTTGCCGAGACGGAGAAGAGAAATGAAAAGAAGATCTTCGAAAAAGAAGAGAATTCTTGAATCTTGATCGTGAATGTGCTTTTGCAAAATCTAGATAAAAAATATCATTTCTTTAAGTTTCTTACTTGAATTTTACGCTTTGTTTTTTGGGTACAGCTATCGAACCAATTATTTCATTCTGATTGTTCTTATTCTTGGTAAGTAGACAAAACCTGCAGTGGGGCTCAAATTCATTATTACTACATTCTTGTTTTATTTCTAATTTTTGTGATTTTGCAGGGTTGGGATTCCTGAGGAGACCGGTTGCTATTTTAGCTGCGATTTTAACAGCGCTTAGCATCGCTTTTCTGAATGATAGGTAAGCTATGTTACACCTCCTCTTTGTTTAGTGTTCTGAATTCTAGTCACTGAGGTTGCTATTTTGAATGTTACCTTGGAGATGGAAGGGTGAGTGCTGCGTCTGAATATTGAATGTTACCATATGGTTAGATTTAGTTTTCTCATCCGTGGTTGCTAATGAGTGTTTTTCTGTGCAGCTTTGCTGGTACTTTTAGTGAGAAGGTGACAAGAACTGTGAGGCAATTCTCTCCACATTTAGCAGCTAAGATGAGGCCTCCCCTTACGTGAGTTTGATCTACCTATATTTGTGTCTGCAGAGTATAAAATCTTGATTTGGTTATTAACTGTTTCATTATTACCAGACCTGTTATTCGTGGACGTCCGTCAGCTAAAAGAGCAATTCACATATGTGGTTGGCCTCGATGGGTGTTTGTCTTCATAGTCTCTTCTGGTATTAATATGTTTAAGAAATGTTTACTTTCTCAATAAAGCAGAATTAATAAGTTTGTCTTCCAATGTAGTATAGGAAGCAACTAATTTTACCATTCTTGTTGCAGTGAGTTTCATCCTTTGGTATTTGTCCTGTGATCTCTTGACTGTGCTATGGGCACTTGCCATTGCACTTCTTGGTAAGTCACCTCATGTCTTTTTTCTTATTTCCCTCTTAAGCATGCTACTTTTTAATCTAACTCTCTCTCTCTCTCTCTCTCTCTCAGCCACCATCCTCCATGCAAGTTTAGAACACCAAACCTGAAGGCTCGTCTTAACACATTCCGTGAGGAATTTCGTGCTGTTTGGCGCAATTACAGTGAGCTGTAGCTTGCATAGTTTATATCATGTGAGTATATTTGCATCCAATGTTATATTGGATTCTGGTTTCTTTCTTTTATTTGTATTAAGATTTTACTTTGCTTAAGCGGGAGTGCTTGTTTTCTTGTTTATTACTCTAGTTTTCAGCTGTTGATTAACTTCACCTTCTTAATTTTATTAAATTTTGAATATTGTAATATTTACATGCTTCGCTTGTATATTCCATGATCATGGACATTTTATTTCACTGTGATGATATGCACGGTAGTGCATTGATCTCTCCCCTGAATTCTTTCATTTGTCTCCACACATTTATGATGATGTGAAACCTTAGGTCTCTGTATGGTGTTACTGGTTGCTGAGTATCTATAAGTATCATTTAGTGCTTTATTTCCATCTGAGTATGGTAACTTTACTATTGAAATGATGCTTTGTACTCTAGGGTTGAACTAGTTGATAAAACACTTTCTTGTGATAACCTATGTGAATTGAAATGGAGGTATTCGAGGGGTCAACTTTCCAATTTTAACAACTCTCTCTAACCTTCTACGTGGTAGGACTTGGGAGGACTGCTTGTTCAAAATTTTATTTTCATGGTGCTGGTGTGTCGGTGGTTTTAATTTTATCATTTCTGAACTCTGCTATATTCTCTTATAACTTCTACCTTCAATCTTTATCTTCATCAATGTAAATTCTTTAATATTTGATTTATAGTCTGCCTCTGGCATGTGGGTGGTATGGCTTAAAGATGAGGGAGAGTATGTGGTGTTCCATTTTATGAATCTTGTTACTGTTGTCTTTGGTTTCAGGCGGAGATGATTCTGATGATATGAAACTCGTACAGCTTATTATTGTAAGGTTGCATCTAGCTGCTGTTGATGTTTCTACAAAATAATTTCTTTGGCTGGATTGAACTGAAGGCTGCTAATCTTTGCACATAAAGGACAAGGTGTGAACGGTCAGGGCGTCTTTGCTTCTGTAAAGCGGACCGTTTTTGTTTTTTAGTCTATATTGGAGACACATTGGAGGATGTTTTTATTGATACCCCTCCATTAAGGAAGAAAAAACAAAAAAAAAATGCAGAATTTATACAATCATACAATCTGTTAGCTCAAAAATGCTTATAGTTCTGGGGCAAGCTGTACTTGATTGTTAATTTACTTCTAGTAGTTTCCTAGTGTGAGTTTAATGCTAAGATAGTGTAAACCTCTGCGTTTAGAAAGAATGTTTGTTTGTTTTGAATGATTTGACGCGTATACATTCATTTCCGGCTATCGTTTATTGTTCCTCTTGTCTATGGTTTCGAATGGGGTTATAGTCCATGCCATTGAAGTCGTTTTTGGCCAAGTGAATGGATCGTTCAAATTTATATTGGATGCGAGATTGGAGATTACATAACAAACCTAGATAACATGAAAAAGGGTGGTGTCTCCTTTTTTAACACGTTTGGATCACTTTTGTGGTTGGGAACTCTTTAATCGTGTCTGAGCCTAAACACTCGGTATTGTCCGTTCAAGTACTCTACTTTGGAAGCGATAAAAGCGGCCAATACTTTCTTTTTCTTTTGGTAATTTCCAATTGCCTTCCCCTTCTACCCCACCTTTCCAACCTGGTCCCCATATCTAGCGACAATGGAATCGAGTCACATTATGCCACTTGCTTGAATTCATTGCCTGGAAATATTATTTTTCGCATTTGCTTTACTCTGTTTTGGAGGTAATGTAAAAAATTTAGGGTCGATATGTTGACTCGTGATATTTTGCCATTTGTGAACAATGTTTTGAATCATCAGTTCCGTGGGAAGTGGAGGAAAGATGGAGCTTTTTTTTTTTTTAAGGTACTTTTGCCAATGAATATTTATATAGGTATTTGCATTATTAAAAAAAAAAAAATTAAGCCTTGTCGAAGAGATTTGATCTTGTAAAGAAGGGTTGGGTTTGTAAAAGCAAGTTGTGCACTAAGCTCTTTTTATCTGCTTTCAGATCCCTCTTTTGTCCCTTACAATGATACCATAATTAAATATAAAAATGAACATGATTCCAATTCCAAAAGCGTGCAATACCTGTTATACTAGCAATACATACAAATTTCTATTTTCGAGAGAATTATCAATGCAGAGAGCAAAGAAGAAGCAGCACGTAAATTCCGTTTCCAAATTGACAACCAAGAAAACCATCAATATTATACAAGTAAGCTATATGTGTGCGGCTTTAAAAAGAAGTTGGAAAGCCTTTTTGCCCCTGGTTAAATTCACAGGCTGTCCCGTTTTATATTGCCTTTTTTTAATCCATGTGCATCACTGTATTTCTCTTTCCTGTCTAAGCAGCTAACAAAAATCCTTAATTATTTTGTACACAAAACAGCCAACTAATGTTACAAATCTTTGTAATGAGAAACAAGAAACTTGGCAGTGAAGTTGTGAGATAATGAGCGGAAGGAAAGGGAAGGAGCAGAGTTGGAGTAAAGGGAGAAAACTATGGAGCATTACCTGAATTGGGCACAAGCTTTAGCATCAGCTTGGGGTTTCATGTTATTGGTAGGTCTCTTGTGCTGTTGCCTCAGCACACAACCACGCCAACATGGTGACATAAACAGCAGCAGCGGCAGCTGTTCTTGCGATGGAGGATGTGCTGGTGTTTGATGGTGGTTTCCATCTTCTGAACAGCGCTTCCTTGTTTTTTTGTTTTTTCCCTTTTTTTTCCTTGTTTTGCACCCTTATACCTCCATTAGTTTTAGGGGGGTGGAGAAGAACGTCTGGTGCATAGAACATGAGTTGATTTTGGTTGATCTTTTGAATGGTATGTTTATATATTGCATGGAATTTGTGAATTCAGTGGATTAAGAATTTTTTAAATTTCATTTGTGGTCTTCGTATTCTCATGATTTTTCTTATTCAGAACCGTCTTCTGCTTTAGAACATGAAGAATTTAGTTTCTTTTGCTTTAGAACTTGGAAAACTTGAGGAGCGGAGTTAAAGCTGTTTTTTGCTTTCTTTGCCTAAGCGGAAAAAGTTTCATGTTTATTTAAGAAAATGGGACTAGGGTGGGGTCTGAAATATTAGTCTAGCCTCGGTTTTGATGGTCATCTTCGGTTTCACAAGAAAAATGAACTATTGCTGAGACTGGGTGACAGCCATGTACTATACATCTGCTTATCGGACTCTAGATTTTACCCCAAATCTCCCTCTACATGACTAAGGCTGCTTGGTGCTAAAAATGCTTAATTTGATCTGTCCATGTCTCAGTGGAATATACAACTAGTCCATTAAACAAAAGGAACACAAAAATGAATTGCATAGAAGCCGTATCTTAACCCAAACAGGAAGAATGATCACTCCAGCCTTTAAATAAATAAACATGATGCCTGTCACGCCAAAGTTTGGCTCAGACGTTTTAACTAGACCAGGACATCACATAATTAAAAGAAGCTATTTCCATATTTTCACTTTCCAAGATGCTAGGAGACACAGTGGCCGTTAATTTTCGTTTCTGCACCTGGCAGATGGCTGATGATCTGATATCTTCGGGCCCTTTGCAACTTGAACTTTTGCTTTCGATTCTCCTTTCAAGTTCAAGATGCATAACCTGGCGTCACCCTGGCAGAATGATTGTAGTTGCAGAAGTGACCCAGGGGCCCGGGCCTGGGTCTGAGCAAACCCTGAATTCCTTTTGAGGATTTTTGTCCACACAGTACAAATTGGGGTCTGCTGAAGAAGAATGATATTCCTTCAGCATCCACCAAACTGTTCCGATTCAAACTCAAATTTGACTTGTTTTTAATGGAAAAATGGCAAGCAACGCATAGTAAAAATAAGAAAGAAATGCAACCAAGGTGATTAAAAGCAATAATGTTGTAATTTGTGACCATACCTTGCCGAAAAGACATTTTAAATTTTCAATCACATGAACTAACAATCAAAATTAAGAATTAAATAAATGTGACTATGTGAGACACATTCATGGTCTGGAAGGATCCACTAAAATAAAGTTAGAAACACTACATTTCACCTGGGATAAGTATTTTCACCAATTAATTTCTTGCGCATTTCATGGATTACTTTCCAAATGAATCTGCTCAATAAATAAGGAAATATTGCCATATACGTGAAGAAATCAAGAATTTTAGATAATATTACCCGGGGACTTTTCCTTTTTTACTAAATACATGAAGGGATGTTTGGCAAAATCAAATTGCATTTGCTAGCAATACAAATTGATTATAGGCTAAAGGGTTAAAAAAATTCCTAAACTATAATTAAAAAATTATCCAAATCCCTATTTTTTTATTGCAATAAATCAACTCCAACTTTTTTTTTGTGAAGCTTTATTTAGGTAAAAAAAATAATTTCATTAATTCATTAATTTTTTTACTGGCTAAAATAAAATTTCTTATAACATCCATAAAATAAATTAAAATTTATTACGTAACATAATTAATATATGTAAAATTAAATAAAATAATATTTTATCTATTTTCTCTCTCTTCCTTTCTAAAATTCCTTTAAAAATTTAATTGACTATAATTTAGAGGTTGGTTAATTAAATTTTGTCACATGACTAGATTCCGTCAATTTAAGAGTTTAATTGAATTGAAAATAAAAAATTAAAGGATTGATGGATTACAATAAATATTAAAAAAATTAAATAATTATTGAATTATAATTTAAAGTAAATTTGACAATTCGTATTTTTATGTCATGTCTCGTATTGTGTTTAACAGATGTAATAACATAAATTATTACTATACGAACATGACACAAATTATAAAATATATTTAAGTCATAAACACAAACATGGTATGTTTATTATACGTGTTATACGTATCACGATACGATTAATATATATACAATTAATTCATTTAAACACGATATAAATAAACATGAATAATACGGATATACATGAATAGATATGACTAACACGAATATATACAAATAGACATGACTAACACGAATATATTCAAAAATAAGACTAAAATAATAAATAATTATAAATTATCCATCATTTACAACTTAATAAACTTGGCATATTAATAATATAAAAATTTACTTGCATATTAAAAAAATAAAAAAAATTGATTCTCATTTAATATGTTATTAATATATATTTAAAATTTAATATATATTACATAACTATATCTATTAGTTTTTAGCGTCGAATTCAAAATAATGAACTATTAAATATTAAAAAATAAAATAATATATATGACTCATATTAATATTTATATTTATTATATATTAATATAAAAATAATTTTATAATAATTATTAAATGAGTATCATAATTAAATATTTAAAATAATCCTTATATGATATTGAATAACTAATTAAACATCATAATTAAAAATTAAAAATTAAAATAATTTTATATGTTTGTATTAAATTAAAATAAATATAAAAAACATATTAAACATATTAAATGTGTACTTGTATGATAAGATTAAATTAAACATATTTTTATGTCATGTCATGTCATGTATTAAACATATAATCGTGTGACGCATTTTATCCAGATATATTTTTCATATCTTATATGTGTTCAGATATGTTAATATGTAAAAGACACCAATTATGTTATATCGAAATTCATTTTGACACAAATAAATAACAAATATATTTTTTTAAAACATGTATATAAATTTTTTTATGTTATTTTTATATCATATCACCTTCTTATATTTAAAATTATCAAATCTAATTTAAAGACCTTTTAAACCTTTAATCTTAATTACATATTCAATATATTTTAGGCATGGTGATGAGATAAAAACCAATTATGGTACGAAAAAGTAGGAAACTTTTTCGTGCATTAAAGGAAATTAATGCTAGATCAGAAAACCCAAGTATCATGCATGATGCATGCATTTCAAAAGGTAAAAACATCACAATAAGACATTCGTGTATTAAGGAATAATGCTAGATCAGAAAACCCTAGTATACATGCATGATGCATGCATTTCAAAAGGTGAAAACATCACAGCAAGACAATAGAATTCAAGAGATTGGACTGTAGATAAAGCATAATGCAACTAATTGAACTGAATACAGGTCAAATGTCAAAGGGCAAAAACTCCAGGACTCTGGAGGCTTAATTTTTCCAAGTCAATCGTATTTAAAGTTAATCGAATTGATATACTACCAATTAAACACCGTGTTATTCTGGCAGAACCAGTCAAGCTCCGCCCACCACCACGGCCCTCCTACAATCAATTCAGCTTATTTTGCTTTAATTTTTATATACAAGAGAAATTATAAGTAGCAACCCACAGGGATATAAAACACAATGGGAAAGCTAGCTTCCTCCATGCTTCATACATACCACTGTTCTTGACTGCAAAATATTTAGGTTTGACCCTTTAAACGTGATGCTCATAAATTCTACTCCATTCTCCATAGTCTTTTTTTTTTTTTTTGAAACTTTCAATATAGTCAAACACGTTTTATGAATTTTTTTGTTTAAAAAGTAAGATAATTAGATAAGAGATTAATTCCAACTTACGTCCTTTCAAACTATAAAAGGAGTTGATGAATAGAGAATTTGTTCATCATCAAGAAATCAATCCTTTTCAGTACATTTTGAAACAAAGAAAGGATGGAACCTTGGGCAATTCCGCTTATTTTTTTCTCAGTGTTCTTCTGTATGATGCTTCTTTTTGCTTGCCTTAGTCGATGTAGTTACCTAGGAAGTAATGTTGGTGGTGGCGCTGCTGGTGGTCATCACTTTGGTGGAGGTGGTCATATGCCTCATGACTTTGGCGGAGATCATGTAAACATAGATATTGGTGGCTCTGACTACGGTGGTGGTGATGCAGGGTATAGCAGTTGGGGAGGCGGAGGTTTTGATGGTGGAGGTGCTGGCGGCAGTGGTGGCGGTGGAGGAGGTTGATATTGGTGGTGGTGGTGGTGGTTTTGGTTGCAGTGGAGGAGGTTGTGATAGTGGTGGTGGTGGTTTTGGTGGCGGTGGAGGAAGTTGTGACAGTGGTGGCGGTGGTGGCGGTGGTGGTGGCTGTTAAATGAGACTAAACACGTTTGTTAGAAGGCCAAATGGCTAGCTAGCAAGAAGCAAAGCTTTCTTGGTTCACTGCGTAGGGAAAACAAAACAAATACATAGCTATTTTGTAAATTCTTGCATGAAATAAATTTAACGGTTTCATTTATTCGTTATGTAAGTAAATACATAGTGCTTTGTAACTACCTAAGCTATTATTAAAGGAAACTGTATATGATTTTTTTTTTGGGTATTTGAGATTTTTAAAATTGAATTTCAATTATTGAAATTTAAGAATTTAACATTTTAATTACAAATTACACTTATTGGTATATGATCATGTATCCATTGAAATATAAATGCAAGGAGCTGATAATCATTTAATTACATAATTTTCTTAGCTAAAATAAATGGATAACCAACATATATATATTAATAATATATCGGCAAAAATACGAGAATATATAATTATATACCAACCTTTGAGATGGAATATCTAACAAGGAATGTCTCTCATAGACAAAGAGTAAATATAAAGAAAAAATAAAGATTTACATTTGATGCATATAAATACATTATTCAAAGAATAGAATGAATCAAATTATCTTATTTTATTAATAAATAAAATTTTAAAAGTTAAATTTTTGTTTATTTATTTAAAATTTCTATATATATTTATTAAATGCAATAAATCATATGATTTACTGACAATTATAAAATTTATATATCGATAATATATAAAATATAAACTCAAAAAAAAAAAAGGACCTTTATCTATAAGTAATTGTTGTTGTTAGTAAATTCTGGCTTGAAAATCGACATAGAAACTTAATTTGAAGAGGTATCGAAACATCATAGGAAAAGAGATTAGGGTTTTAGATAAAGCAGAGTCTTGGGTTTAAGGGCTTAAGGATTAAAACGGTGGAGCCGAAAAAAAAAGAAGTTAACAATGTTTAGGTCAAGGGGCGGACGCATATTTAGAACAGAAGCAAAGTCAACCGTATTTTAAATTGAACAAATTACTAAGATGATTACTTGAACGTCAAGGCCTCAGCGCCCTCTACCAAGTCTTAAAATACTCGTAATAATTGATCGTACTGTCAAACATTGCATTACTTTGGCTGAATTAGTCAACTCCTCGTACAGTCAATTCAGCTTGATTGCTTAAAAGATCATGAGAATTACAGCAAAAAGGAAACCTAAAACCCACAAGAATTATATAAAATAAAATAGCTAATCTACTTTTGAAAGGACTAAATAAAATTATTCATACATATATGATTTTTCAACAAATATAAAGATTTAAATTTCATTTTGGTTAGAATGATGAAAGAAATTTTCCATTACTTATTTTGCATTTTGTATGATTAAAATTTTGAGGATCTAATTATAAAATAATATTATTGATATGATATGAGTTTTTTTATCACATTATCAAATGATTCCTTCGTCGATGTTATGTATATATTGAACTATATATATTTAATTAATAATTAAGTGCTAGCTCGAGTGAATTAATAAATACTTAACATGTAATTAATTTATTTTTAGAATTTTAATTCATTAGTATTCTTAAACAAAGTTCCTAGCAGTTATCTGTTAATTTTTTTTTTTGGAATGTCCAACACGTTATCTTGATTAATTTTTGTTTTCGAAAGATTAGATTCATAGTCCTAATTCTAACTATAAATGAAGTTGACAGAGAACTGGTTCATTAATCCTTACACCTTAGATACAAGAAATAAAGAAAGGATGGAACCTTGGGTAGTTCCTGTTATTTTTTTTTTCTGTATTGCGCTCCTGTCTGCTTGTTCTTTTTGCTTGCCTTATTAGTCTATCGGGTAACAGAGGAAGCTCTATAGATGGTGATCATGGAGGTCATGGCTTTCGTCGAGGTGGTTACACGTCTCATGGCATTGGCAGAGGTGGAGATATAAGCATAACAACTACGAGCACAAGGGGAGGAGGTGGTTTTGCGGTGGTGGTGGTGGCGGTGGTGGTGGCGGCAGTGGCTGTTGAGGAGCCTGATCTCGTTATGTAGAAGACCAAATCTTTAACTTTAACCGGGAAAAGCCAGCCATCTTTATTGGACATTAATCATAGGGGAAAACATATGAGATGTGAAGCTATTTGTAATTGTAAATTCCATTATTAAATGTACATAAACATTTTCATTAATTCTATTATCTTAAATAATATATAAAAAATAAATACAAAAAAAAAAATGAATGTTAGACATCCAATTTGGTTCAAGTCCGGATCAATTGAACCTGATCTAATGGGGTCAATCAAACCCAAAATTTTTGGACTTAATTGGTTATTATTATTTTTTTATGTAATTTATTGATTTATTTATTTGTTTTTCTTCTAGATTTTTTTCTTTCCCACCTTTCTTTTTTTTTCTTAAATTAATGGTTAGGAGATTAATAATCAGAATAATTAAAATAATAAAAATATGAATGAATTATGTCGTGAATAAGGCAGTACGAAATCATAGTTGGATTAAACTAATATAAGTAAATTTCAACGATTAGTTTGATAATCCAGAAATCCAATCAAAAAGGGAATCCGAATTAATCAGAGATTTTTGAGATCGATTTTATAATATATTATTCATCAGAAGCAAAGAACACACGAAAGAGAAGAAAATAGAGGCAAAAAAAAAAAGGGTTCTGGTGAGTTAGAGGCAATTTTAGGATTTTTTTTGGAATTTTTCAGAATTTTGGGTGATTTTTTTTTTGAAAATTTTTTGGAAAAATCCAGATTCCGACAAGCTTTCTGACCAAACTTGAGTTTTCTAGCCAGATTTTTCAATTTTCGACGTAATTTTTCAGTTTTCAACTAAACATTCAACCGAAAACTAGGTTCTGTTAAAGAAAGAGGAGAAAAAGAAAAAAGAAGGAAGAGGCATCTATTGAAAAGAATCGGTTTTAGCCTTATATATCATTCTCAAAACGACATTGTTTTTGTGTTTAAAAATACCCAAGATCTGCGTGTTTTTTATTCGGATGACCCGATCCGAGTGCAACTCGAACTGTTGACCCGTCTCCTAGCTAAACCCTTTGTGGAGCCGAGCCGAGCCGAGCAATTCTGCTTGAGTCGCATTTTGAGCCATCGTTTGTGCCTCAAGCCGAGCTGTTTCCAACGTCAAGTCGAGCCATGCTAAGGTTTTTTTATTTATTTATTTATTTATTATTTATTATTATTATTATTATTAATTAAATCAGAATTATTTGGTATTCCTTAATTTTAATTTTTATCTTTATTTTTTTTGTCAATAATTTTGCTAGAATAATTTTTTTTAAAAATAAATATTTTTGAGAAAAAGTTGAAAGTATCAATTTTTCTAAAATTTTTAAAAAATATTTTGAGGAAAATTGAAAATATCAATTTTTCTTTTAAAATTTTTTTTCTAAAAAATATTTTAAGGAAAAGTTGAAAGTATCAATTTTTCTTGAAAATAAAATTTCTAAAATAAAAATTTTCAAAAAATATTTTGAAGAAAAATTAAAAGTATCAATTTTCCTTAAAAATAAAAATTATCAAGTAAAACATTTTAAGAAAAAGTTGAAAGTATCAATTTTTCTTATACGAAAGCAATGAGTTTTTTTTTTATAAAATGAAAAGAAAATGATTTATATTAAAAGTCGAATCATTATTTTTTTTCCTTTATTTCTTTGAAAAATTTTTAAATGTTAAATAATCCGACGACGGAGCCTCTGCAAAGGAAACAGTAGTTTTATTGTATACTTTTGATGTAAGAAAATTTTTTTAATTTTTTACCAAAAGTATTAGAGTCAATTAAGAATAATTTTTGATAATTAATTACTTGGTAAGATTTTTAAGGCTTAATGGATAACACGAAAATTAAGTCGGTACCATCTTCTGATGTACATTGTGAGGATGTTATAACCTTCCTCACATGTAATCGTACTCTCAAATCATGTTCTGATTAGTAAACTCGAACCTATTTTTTTAGAGATCTTTCATCAAGCTTAGGAACTCCTTAAAAGGATATATTCATAAGATGACAAATCACACCTAGTTAAAAAAGATTTGTGACGACTTCTCAAGTCAATGTCTAGCGATAGGTCATCGGATCTAGACATTATGACAGTGGATGATCTATTATTTTGATATGTGTACGATTTTAAACAATTGACATGTATTTTGTATTTAATTAATTTTATTTGATTTTATTTAAATTTTAAAATATTTTTATGCATTAATTATATTTAAATTATTTTAAAAAATTAAATTAATTACATTTATTTTCTATTATTATTTATCTTAAATCACTTTCAATTAAATTTATATTAAATATAATAAAACTTTAATTGCTGACATTGTATTTTTAATTTTCAATTATAATATTCAACTTTTACATTGCATTTGTGTAAAAATAAAAAATTCACTATCCAATTTTGAAATCTGTGACCTATTTATTTACTCCACCTTTTAAGCCATGTATATACATTGATATGTATATATATTAATTTTAAAATGATTAATAAATGATCAAATCAAGTAAAATTAATTTTGGAATATTTCAAATAAAATGAATTTCATTACCATTATTATACTTGACTATGCTAATTATCAAGTATAAATTACTCTGGATTTAAGGTATTATTACTCTTGATTAGATTCTTAATTTATTTTAATTAATTAATCATTTAAAGAAATATTAATAAGAATCATTGAATATGTTTTATAATAATAGAATCAAGATATTTTAAATTAAATTTATTTTATCATTAAATTTTAAATTTTAAATGCAGTTAATTTTAAATACATATTAATTTTTTAATTGTCCACATATCGAAAATATAGACTATTCAAATTAGATTATTTCTTCTTTTGTTAGAGATTATGACTTTTATATATTTATATAATATAACAACCATTATAAGATTTACGGTAAATAATAGTTATTTTTATCAAATAATTCAAAAAGGTAATTTTTAATTCAACATTTTACTATGCTATTATTTTTTTTTTACAAAATTTTTAGGGTTGTGAAAG